GCGGGCGGCCCTGGAGCGGTGAGTGCCTCGGCCTCGGCCTCCCCGCACGGCCCTGGGCTGTGCACCGGGCCCGCGGTGCAGAAGTGCTGCATGCTAAACCTTTGCAAAAACTGCAGATGTCAAACGTTGTGGCAAAGCTTTCCAGAAATCGGTGTCCCTTATCGCAGGAAGCAGCTGGTGCACTGGCACCAGGCAGGCTGACACACACGCTTTTAGAAATGCCTCATGTTCACTTTTTGTCAATGGTTTGTTGTTACTGCTTCTGCCCGCTTTCTTTTCTTTACTGTGTTTTAATACTCTACATAAGCACCTTTCACCCTGTAAACATCAAAAGGAAACCAAGTAAAGCTCTGACGCTATTCCCCACTGTTATTGAGTAGCCAGAACCTGCAGTTTCCCCTCTTTGATGGTGGTGTGCAGCACCATCCAGCCTACATGGGAGAGAAGAGTGCCTTTTGCTGTCAGTCAAGCTCAGAGCTTCCAGTCTAGCGCCGACTTTTAGTCGCTGCTAAATCGAAAGGCAGAGCTGTCAATAAGACAATTCCAATATAGAGAAGACAAAGCCAGGTAAGAGAGTATAAAACTATCAGGGTGGGAAATTTACTTACTGCAATAACATGCCATCTTTTTTTTCAAAAAGATCCATAAGTTCCAGTTGGGGGTAAGCTTTAGGATACAGGATATGGTGAGGCTACTTCCTTCTGAGAAGATGGGTCATGCTTTGTCCCTACATTAAAAATGGCTATTGTGGGCCTATAATAAAGGAGTCATTTGTGAATAGAATTTAAAATGCATGGATTCTACTAAGACCATTGTGCAGAACTAGCAGGTAAAAACCTGACCAAGGAAGGACTATGTGGCAAATAATAGAAGAAAAAGCTGCTGCTACCCATCTTACAGCAGATTTGCTATTTTAAAGCCTTGTGAAGGGGTTGATTGACCTAAGAAGAGTCACTGGCTGAGGCCCAGGGCTCACTGTTTAAACTTTAATAGAGGAACTACATTAGTCTGCTAAAGATCAGAGTCCTGCTAGAAATGTGACAAGGCACGAGTGCACCTCCCCCTGCACACTGAATAGTTTACATCCAGTGAACAGTTTAGTGCTGAAAGCATGCCTAATCCTTCTTGCTAGTCAGTCAGCTAGCATTTCTGTCCGTGTTCCAGAGTACCACCAGTGCTTCCAGGATACCAGTAGCACTTGTCCTCTGCTGCCTCCCAAAGCTCCTTCTCTCTGGCCTGGACTACAACCACTCTGTAACTTTTAAATTTGATTTATTTCTAGGTCTCTTGATGTGAATCTTCGGGCTGTGCTTCATGTTTCCCAGGTGAGGAAGAATTGTCACTGCAGTTATCTCCATGAACAGTAGTGACTAAGTTGTTCTGCACAGTGGAGATAAGTGTCTGCTGTGCGGGCCAAAGGGACTGCAATCCAAAGTTAACCTGACAACTTGCACATACAGCCCCTTCACTCTCTTGCTTTGACTCTCAACTCTTGTAAGCGGGAGGCAGTAAGGACTTACTTCCTCTAGATGTTTTTGCTCTTTTGGTTACCATAATAGCCCACCAAGATTCCTACTGAATGAAATAATAATGATTTCTCCTGTTAAGATTCTGGCATCCTTTTTTTTTTTTTTTTTTTTTTGTTCCCCTCCCTCCTCCCAGATTGTTGCTCGGCAGATGATTGCAAAGGGGGTGCCAGGTGCTATTGTAAATGTCTCCAGCCAGGCATCTCAGCGTGCCCTGCGGGATCATGCTGTTTACTGTAAGTATGTCTAGCTTTAGCAGCGCCCCTCTCATTTTTGACTGGAGACCCACAGCCACCAAGCTGCCGGCTGCCAATTCTGGGCAGTAAAATACTCCTGTGTGGTCCAGACCAAGTGCTATGCACTTAAATGCCCTTTTTTTCCCTTCTCTTCAAGGTTCCACAAAAAGTGCTTTGGATATGCTGAGCAAGGTAATGGCAATGGAACTGGGACCCCACAAGGTAGGATTCTTCTGAGAGAAAGAAAAGTCTGAAAGCTGAACCTGAGCATTTCCTCTGAGAGCAGTCTGGTTTGATTGTTTGTTGCTCTTGGTCCCAGATCAGGGTGAACACTGTGAACCCCACAGTGGTTATGACCGACATGGGGAGAATTAACTGGAGTGACCCTCAGAAATCTGCTGCCATGATTAATCGGATTCCACTGGGGAAGTTTGCAGGTCAGTGATGTAGATTTGTTGCCAGGCTGGGCTCTTTTGTTATCACAGCCATAGGTACCTTGCTACTTTTGTGGACAAAGTCACAACTCTGCTGAATGGCTGTGGTTGAATTCCTGAAGCATTTGATAAGAATCAAATGGGCAACAATCAATCTCATCTCCCCTCTTCTGCGGCCTTCTCATCTTAGAAGTGAAATGCACTTACTCTATTGTCCATAAATGTGAGTGGGAGGGGAGCATAGGTGCTTGCTGTGAACTAAGTATCACGTAATCACAACAAGGACTTTTTGATGCCCAGCTCTCAGCCACACTGTCCTGTATATTGCATCAAGCACAGTTTGGGGCCCAGGATATTTCCCTGCTCCAATTACATGTGGAGGTCAAAGACATACCTCTTGGGATGCTTGTTTTTCTAATACAATTTGAGGGGTGCATGTGCATCAGGTGTTCTCTGTGTTTGTTTCCAGAGGTGGATGATGTGGTGAACAGCATTCTCTTCCTGCTGAGTGATAAGAGTGCTATGACAACTGGCAGCTCACTGATGGTTGATGGGGGATTTCTTGTCTCCTAAGATGACACCTGTATTTCACACCTGGCCTTAATTTTCATACTAGTACTGCATAGATGTAAACTGGACAGAGAACAGTGACACAGACCCAGTCTTGCTGGAGAAGAGGGGCAGCAGGGCTGGAACCTGTATGAGAAGTGAGGCAGAAAATTACCTTTAGAAGGCTGTTTATATAATAAAGCTCACATACGCCGTCATGGAGAATGTTTATTGCACCAAATAAGGTTTTATCTTGTCACTCTACATGATGATTAGAAATTGGACCTGTCTTTCTTCCAACCCTATTCCCCCCCCACAACCCTCCAGAAGCTCTCCCTGTTCCACCCAAATCCATAAAGCCCACCTGCACTTTCAGTGGGAAGGGAAAGAAGTTAGCAGACTCCTCATTGCTTCCTTTTCTGTCTTTAGTAGAAAAAAACAAAACAGAGGCAACAACCACAGCCCTGCTCTGCAGAGACTGGATTTGGGGGGGAGGGGGGGGAGGCCCTGCTAAAGACTGATTGGGGGGGGGGAGCAGCACCACGCTGTCCTAGGCTGTGCACACTCAAAAAGGCAAATACATTGATTGCACAGAGCTGTTTCACTCACTGAGTTTGGCTAGTACCTAATAAAGCACCTAATGATTAGTTCTTCATAACTCATTTACTTCCACCCCTTCCAGGGCTGGTTATGATTTCTTTAACAGTCTCGGGCATGTATCTGCTAGAGCACCAATTTGTTAAATGTTAGCCACAGTAGGCTGGGCGAGGAGACCTGACCACTCTCCCAGCTACTCTTGTCATTCAGCACCTTTCGTATCAGCTCCCTCCCCACTCCACAAGGATCTTCACCACCTGTTTCACCTGCAGGTTGAAACCAGGTGTTTCCAGGACAGGATGGATGTCTCAGCCCTTTTAAGTTTGGAGTTCAGGAGAGCCAAAACAGCTTGTTGCCCCAAGGAGCTACCTTGTCTTCCCCGTTGTACCTCCCCTGGGGGTTGTACAGCCCCCAGCTAGTCTCCTGCCCCCACTGCCCCTTCACATCAACACTGACGTTAAATCAAAGAGACATTTAAAAAACACTGACTTCATACATGATGAAGGGCCCTACACATCCCAGCCCCCTCCAGAAACACCCAGCTAATATGCAATCTGTCAGAGGACAACAACATGCTGAGCCAGCACCTAGGCCACAGCCCTCAAAACACGGTACACTTTTTGCCGGGCTTCTTCACGGGCGGTGGGCAGAGCACAGCCCGGATGGCTTCATCAAACACCGTCTTCAAGCCCCGCTGCGTCAGGGCAGAGCACTCGAGGTACTTTACCGACCCTAGGGGAAAGAGAGCTCCAGCTCAACCACTCCAGTCCTACCAGGACATACTGTCCCTCACCCACTCCAAAATAAAAAGCTGAATGCCACGGAGATCTGCCAGCACTTGAGACTCACCAATCTCCCGAGCCATGGCCAAACCTTGGGGGTAGGTGATGGGGGCCAGTTTCTTATCACGTAACCTTTCAATGGTGTCCTTATCATCCCTCAAGTCCAGCTTGGTGCCCACCAGGATGATAGGTGTATTTGGGCAATGGTGTCGGACCTCAGGGTACCACTGAAACAGAGTGGCATTGTAAGAAAAGTAGCTGTAGCAGTAGATGCAACCATGAGGATGCATTTAACTATTAGGAAGAAGGTTCTTACTACTATCTGACATGGTGGCAACACCTGAACAGGATACTTCTGCCTACCGTTCTGAATGTGCTTTGCAGAAAGAGATTGGTGCAGATGTAATAATGAAGGCACTGAGACATGGAATCATGACAGACACTGCCAGCCAACTCAGCACACAGGGCTTCCCTTAACTGCATTTTAGCTTCTAGGACATCCCTTGTCTTCTTCAAGATGCAGATTTAAAAAAGGCAAAAACTTAGCCAAAGAAGTCATGAATAAACAGTAGGCCCCTCTATGACTCTGCAGACTATGACCTTCCCTTATCAAAACATGACTGCTAGAAATTTTGGGCTTGTAGGTGTGCTGCTGGGCAGGGCAGGGGCCTTCACTGTTTCCTCCCTTCCACTGTTTAACCCAGAAGGAGAATACTTTACCTTGGCTCTGACATTCTCAAAGGAGGCTGGACTCACAAGGGAGAAGCAGATCAAGAAAACATCCTGTGTGGAAACAAGAGGGTCAGTTGTGTAGAAAGAAACAGCTAGAGATAATGGAGGGAGGGTGGAGAGGGAGCCTTATAGAGGACAACCTCCTCCCACGAGCCAGGACTGTGGCTGTAAGAAATTTTTCCCATTAAGGGTGCTAAACTAATTCAGAGAGGGAAGGAATTGACTTTGAGTGTATGACTTCTTCTTCTTTTACAATACTGGGCTCTGTGTGTTAAGAGCTTGCAGACAGAAAGACCTTAACAGTGCTATGGGCTTCACCCCTGGTAGGGGGGCCACTCAGGAATTGCTACAGCCAGGGAATCACTGCTAGTGCAGCCCAACAGTGAGCTGTGCCGCTGAGAGAATGGGAAGATGGAACGTGGCTCAGCTGCACAGCAGCCCCATGTCATTCCTTTCATTTGAGCCTTCCTATGGTACGCATAACTGTTCAAACGCCGTTACAAAGCAGGGACTGGAATAGGACAATCTCTTAGGAGGAATGCAGATGTGATACTTCTTAAACAACCAGAATAATGGCTGCAGCTGCAGGAACTTAGACTTTCCTCAGAGGAAAGAAGCCTGGCTGTCCTTGGGAGCCTCCCTGTCCCCAAGAGGCAGCAGTTACAAGTCAGTCCAAGCCCAGCACTCACCGTCTGTGGATAGGAAAGAGGCCGCAGTCGGTCATAATCTTCCTGCCCTGCTGTATCCCAGAGGCCTAGGTTCACTGGCTTTCCATCCACCATGACATTGGCAGAATAGTTATCAAACCTGCCAAGGAAGAGTCTCCATGAGTGACAATCTTCTTGTGACCCACACATCTCTTTATACTAAATCCAAGGGGGCAGTGAATCAGGAGAGGACAACGCAACACAGCTCTGGTGGGGATAGTCTGCCCTTCTCACACACACAGCCATACCCACCGGCATCTCCTCGTGTGTGAAGTTCACAGTCCAATTTGGGACAGCCTTCTCCTCACCTACAAAATCAACTTATACACACATGTGCATACAGAGCAAAAAGCAACTGAAGCCCAAGGCCATTACTCACACAGTGGGGATGTATTCTCCAGGAAAGGCATTTGTGGTGTAACTGATCAGCAAGCAGGTCTTCCCTACAGCTCTGCAGAGGATAAGAGTGACAAGCATAAAGAAGGGTACAGCAGGAAGCACCAAGGCAGTAAAACTCACCCTTCCCCCATCCAAAAAAGAGGTTAGGTAAAAAGTTACCATGTGAGAAAACAAACCTGTAGCAGGCTGGAATTCGCTAGCTGTCAGGGACCAGGCCTGAACTCACAATGTGCACCTTGCCTGAACACCTACCTGACCCTGCTCTCCTCCACTCCTTTTCTCTACCCATTCAGCCTCAGCAAAACACCAGGCAAAATATATTTGTTCCAGGAACCAAAGGAGAGGGAATATATTTGTGTTCTGGGGCTGTGTTGGGCTGTGCTAGGCTCAACACATCCATAATAATCTAGCAAACTGGGTAAACACTGGGTGTGAGATGAAAAAACATGCAACAACAAAGAATTATTCAAGCTCCTCAAATATAGGAATTCAATGTCAATAAATACAAAGGGGAAAAGATAAGTATCCGTAAACAAAAATAAACTTTAAAATTGACCACTGTCAGTTTGGAAAGATATTTGGGCATCAGTGTAGATCACTGAAAATATCAGCTCAGGGCTTTGCTGGAGGCAAGTAGGATTGGTCAACCCAGTGGTGGCAGCTAGTAGGGGTTGGGCCTGGTTGGCAATAGTGTAAGTATATGAAATTCACTTAGCCCAGTAGGATAAGGAGAAAGCTTAGTTCTAAGAATAGAGGAGTACCAAGAGTGAAAACAACCTATTTATCACTGTGAGAGTTGGGAACTGTGGACAATCTTCCAGAGAAGCAGATCATGAGCGACAGGGAAAGCTGTGTGTTAGAGGCCTGAGTGAAGCTGAATAACCAACAGAGCTACAGCAAATATCCTCTACCCAATTCTATAACTGGAGTGACATAAGGAAAGACTTCAGGAGTAAGCGAGAGACCCCAGGGGACCCCACAGTCCTGCACCAGGATGACACAAAGCACAGCGAGAACCACTACAGTAATCCACCCAGCGTTTCCCCTGGATCAGGTCCCCTCTCTTGGAAAGCAGGGAGGTTGTGCAAGGAACCACTACACTGACTGGCCTGACTTTCCTCCTGAACTGTGACCTCTCTCTCCCACCAAACAGGGAAGCCACATAATTCACAAAAAACACACACATCTATGATTAAAGTGTTTTGGTACCCGAACTCATTTAGTCTCTGCACTGTCAATTTGGTCTTAAAGCAAAACACCGGACTGCAAACTTTCAGCTGAAGGCCATTTCCAACATGCTGTGCCCCCAGTCGTTGCTCTCCCCTCCACAACAGGGCTGTGCTGTTCTGGTGGGTGGCTCTCCTGCTCTCCTCTTTAGCCCCACAGGCTAGAAAGATCCTGGAAGGCCTCGGTCCAAATGTGTATTTGAAGGGGTAGCATGCGTGGGAAGGTGGAACGACCAGTCCCTACCTAAGACCAGTTCACATTTAGTTTTACGTATCTCAGCCCTATGCTTGCTGTGGTGATCAAAAAAGCAAACAGGAATTACAAGGAAAAACATGCAGGATAAGCTAGGAAAAGTTATGAAGCACCATAAGTCTACTGCATGCCTGCATCTTGCATACAGATGTGTTCTCAGAAAAAAGGCATATAGGAAAGGCCTAAAGAAAAGAGCAAGAAGGATGACAAGAGGCACATGGTGAAATCAGAATCAGCATTTTCAACTTGGAACACAACAAAAGGAGGTATGAGAGAAACCTGTGAACGTCAAGATTTTTAGGGAGGACTTTGTGATGAATCACACTTGTACGACAACAAATAGCAAAATACAGGCATCTAATAAAATAACGAGGAGACAGATTTAAAACCCAAGAAACGGTATTTGTTTTCCAGGCAGTACGCTGCTACATGTGAAACTGAACAATGTTAAGAGACGAAGACCCAAGTTTATGAAGAGGGAGCAGGACGCGCTGGGCAGGACTCTAAC